CTGATTTCTCATTCCAAGTCACTTTCCTGTATGCCACCCATACATCTATACAGTCCTGGAGAAAACAATATTGTATAAAAGTTACTATATTTATGGAGGAAGAGTGTGTGTTCGATAGAGTATTTGTAGATATAAACAATGTATAAAAAGAAATAAATGCTGCATGGTTTGATGATTACTTAAGGCATGAAACTGATAATTTCTACACAGTACTGATTACTCTGTCAATACAGTTTATATAAATATCTGTTCATTTATCTATCTATCTATCTATATATATATCTATCTATCTATCTATATAACACAATATAAATATAGACAATTGTTTTAACATATCAGCTCTTATGTATCTACATAAATCCATTCATTTTTCCCAGGATTCTTTCAAATAAAATTAACCAAAAACTTTTTCATGATTGAAAACTAATAGATATAACTTCCTAACATCAAATCTATACTTTTCAAATAACTTTAGATAAAAAGTACATTTTATGAAAACAGCCATTAATTTAAAGTTATTAATATATTGAATAAACAAGAAATTTTTATTACTAATGTTTATGGAAATTTCCATGTATTATCTTGACACTTGGACACAAATCAAGAGATTTATTGCATCCTTAAAGAAAAAATAACAGATATAAAAACAAGAGAGTAAATAAATGTTACTCACTGTAACAAAGGCTTTCCATTGGATGTCGAGCTTTAAGAGCAGTAACACAACCATAAGAATTGTATTTCCATAAAATTACATGTTTTCTACTTGTAGAGCCTGAAAACAAAAAAAAAATAAAGGAGCTGGACATTATATTTTGAAGGAGGAGGAGAGGGTGTTATTTGTATTGTAGAAGTACATAACATTGCCCTCAAAATGTACAGATACTTTCAAAGCCCTGTGTTGATGGAGAGGTAGCACTGTGTGTTGGGACCACATAGAATGGCTTGAGGCTTTTTATAATGCCCCAAAGTTGGGAGTGAACTGTAGTTCATCATTGGATTTTTGAGTGCCTGAGCAGCCATCACTAGGTGAGTGCTGCTCACCTAGAAATGTTGGAAGGGTCTGGAATAGGTGATCCAAACAAATGCCTTCAGCAATCTGTGGATGATGTGCATTCATGCCAGCAGGAGAAAAACAAAAAATATACATAAACAAAAACCATAGGTTGAAGATTGGAATGTGGAATGTCAGGACACTTCTTGAGTGTGAAGGGTCACATAATCCTAAGCTAAAATCTTACATTATAATGAAAGAGTTAGCACAGTATTGACATTACCACACTTACAGAAACCCATTTGAGTGATGACAGAATTAGGCACTAGGTACACTTTTTGCTGGTAGGTTAAAGGCTGAAAACAGGAGAGGTTTACCATTCAAACTAGGTTAACCAACAACTTTGAACAACCTAGTGATTTTAGTGATATAATCATGTGTGTCTGTGCTTCATTACTATGCAACAATTTAATGACTGTACCCCTACTTTTGATAGCAACAAAGAATCTATCATGGCATTTTATCAAAATCTTGAATCTGTCAAAACCTTGAAAAAGATCTTTCCTTTTGGTGATTTTAATGCTAAGGCAAGATGAGGTCACAAGATTTGGAACACATTAGGAAAAAATGGTCTATGCAAGATGAATAGTAATGGTCTTCACTTCCTTTAACTTTGTACAGAATTTTAATTTGCTATCCAGCATCTTTTTTCATTAGAACAATGTTCATAAGTCTACTTGGATATGCCCAAGATCAAAACATGGTCATATTCTCAACAATATCATAGCCTGAAAATGAGACCATCAGGATGTATGTAGTGTTCAAGTCATGTGAGGTGTAGAATACAATGCAGACCATAGGTTTGCATATAGGAAATTAAAACTCCGCATCATGTGTAAATCTTAGACATGATGGGATAAAAGACCAGGAACATATTGATGTGTTGAAACTGCAGGATTCAAATGTATGTAAAAAGCCTCAGAAATCTATTGAGGATGTACAATTCGATAGAACATTGGATAATTTCTAGGGTCAGAATTAAGGTTCCTGGTCTCAGAAAACTGAAAGCTCAGAACTAGTTTCATGAAAATAATCAGACATACAGAAAATTTATGTCATTTTTGTGGTTATGTCAGTCAGCAGCAGATTTAAAAAATCACATAAAATTTTCTAAGGAGCAGATACAAAGACCATACAGAAGCCTTTCATCTGCTATATATGCAGGAAAGCCTGAAAAATTGTAGCAAGTCTTTTGAGTCAGTATGTGTTGACAGCCACTCAATCCAAAACTGAAGTGAATAAATAATTCACTTAATTTATCTGGAGTCTGAGTTTCATGGATAATTTTTAGGTACAATCTTTGGCAGATTTTGTAGTGAATTAGTTATTTAGGCACAGAGAAAAAGAAAATATGATATGTATGTAGATACTTTAATTTGCATCTTTTTAAAAAATTTTGTAGATAGATAGATATGTGTTTATGAATGTTATGCATGTGCTGAAATGTCACAATTAAAGTGCCTTTTTGTTAAACCCTATAAAGAGTAGATCCTAAAGGAGTAAGTATTGCTGAGAGCAACCTAAGACAAGAAGCAGTGGAGAACCCTGATCTCACATCCTGAAAGAGACATGACACATAACTGTCAGATATTTTCTTCTTGTATTTTTTATTTAAGCAAAGAAAAGAAAGTGAAATTCTTTAGTGCAGGTTTCATCTTCAGGTTTTGTGTTTGGATTCTTGACAGGAACCTTGAATTCATACAGAGTTTATTCAGAATTCATTCCTCTACAAACTTTTGATAAGCAGCCAGAAATTGAAAGGTAAGCCGGAATAGCTTTAAAATTATGGCAATAGTGTAAATGACACACTCACCAATTACCTGATTCAGTTCAGGGACAAACTTTACAATCTGGAGACGGTATTTTTCTTCATCCTGCTGCTGGAATGTTCCCAGAGAATCTGTTACCTACCACAAGAAATCAATTGCATGTATGAGTTTGTGTGCTTATATGTGTTTGTAGATATATATACATAGACTGAGATAGATCAATAGAGATGTAAAATTTACTTTATATCTAGAATTATTTACACTACAGTATATTTAGCAGTGTTTATTTAAAGAATATTTTGTCCTTTCTCTGGAGATATCTACAGTGCTATTTTATACCAAAAAACCATTGAAAAATTTAGCTGTCATTAACAAAAGTAACAAATATCTTTGAACTACAATCTTAGAAAACTTGTCTCACAAATCATTTTACTAGTTTGTAAATATGATTTTGAGTGTTCCACTTACTGTGGTCTTGTACCAGACTAAAGTGAGCAATCAATTTGTACAAAAACAAACAGTCAAAATCTGTATATAGAGGCCATACAGGAGAATATAGTCACCTTTATTTTCAATTAAAAGCCTTTATTTAGCAGTTTAGTAATTCAAGAATATTTTATACAAATGAAGATTTTATGAATTTTAAAGTTTTTACATATTCAAGCATCAAATTTATTAGATCTGATATTTAATCTCTAACACTATCACTGAAAATCCATCCTTTTTGATAATGGACTGTGGGTTGTTGAATAAAATTCTTATATAAGCAGCTCCAGAGTTCAAAACTTGAGAAAGTAAGAATTAAACAAAAATATGAATGTACCAAAATTTCCGTCTGTTCATCACTCTTTTTTGTGAAGAATACTGACATGCTTAAAAAGTGACTTTCTTCTGGCTGCTCTGCCATAATAACTCACTTGATTAAGATATTGTCATTCTTATTCTGATATAAACACACTCAATAATATCTACTGTGTCTTGCAATGTAGATTTTTCTTAATTTACTGTTTCATCTCTCTGTCACTTTTATGATGATCAAGACAGAGCTGAATGAACTACACTTTATGATCAAGTTGTGAACTTTTCAAAGTCAATGAATAGGATTTGATACTAGCTCATTTCACATTTCAATTGTGAAATACTATGTCAGTCTTTGAAAAACTCATGTTTCTCAAATTCAAAACAGTTAAGTAACTGTCTGGATATTTTTCTAGTATTTTTATAAGTAACTGTAATAATGTAAAATGAATGTGTATATTTACTTATGTCTTTACTGCCAAAGTCATTTTCAATTTAGTTGAGAATACAGGGATACACTAGGTTTGATGGAAAGCAAAACTTTTCATATGAATATAAGCAGAAGGAAAATAATTCCTATAGATAAGAATATCCTTGTTTCATAACTTTTCATTGTTATGTGACAAATAGATGTAAAAAAATATAAGAAGCATTAGTGAAATAACAACCATGACATTTTTTCTGTTGCAGATCAAATTTATTTCAAGATTTTTATATCCCAAATAATCTTTCAACATAATGAAAATAACCTGGAAATTTTTTTATCAATTTCCAACCAGTCAAACAAAAAACTAAAATTTCATTTGTTTCATGAAAAGGATACTTGTCAAAATAAAAACAATGAAAACAAAACAAATCTGTTTTTTTAAAATTTGGCTCATGATTACATCCAAGTTATGAAAAATAGTACAAAAATAAAACTAAAAATGTATATTTTTTGTGGGTTCATTTAAAAGAGATTAGGGAGAATAACCATCAAGCAACAATAAAGTACACTGTAAAAAATGATGTGCGATACTCAGATATAAAACAAAAATAATTTTATTAAAATAAAATAAAATTTTACTTAATATTAGAGATGCACAAATTTAGTTTGTGCACCTGAAAAAGTGGGTAATAATTTTCTGGACAAGTAATTTATTTTTTCTAAAATAAGACTCAGTGGAAAAGGATCAAGTTTACAATCAAAATCAGTCAGATAACATGAAATGAAATAGCAAGAAAAATGCCAGCATGTACAAAACAATGTAAATTACAAGCAAGAATTTTTAACATTTTTACCAATATCTGAAATCTTATTACCTTAATTTCATGTCATTCTTTTCAGGATTCAAATAGCAAGAAAAAATATAATTCAGAGTAGATAATCTTTTTAGACTCACATTATCACCAGATTTGGGTTCAAAAAGGCTAGCAGAAGAGAGTCCAGCAGTGACCCAAATAGTTTTATCGCGTGGACAATAACAGAGGCTGGACACTGGGGCAAGGAAGTTATTCATTCTGTGGATTGGCTTGCCATCAATGGACCAAATCCGAACTGATTTGTCAAAAGACCCAGTCACAACCCTGAAGAGAAAAAAATTAAACATTTGAAAAATTTTTCAAACTATTTGCTTGGAATGAATTTGTAAAAGAGAATAAAAAGTTATGCAAAAAAATGAATAAAAAGTATTTATAAATAAAATGAATGAATGAATTTTTCTCTAAATAAAAACACAAGCTTTTTTAGCCAACAATTAAACTTAATTAAACTTAATATTTTGATTGCTATGCATTATTCTAATTATTTGTCAATATTAATTACTCTCAAATGAGTCTGGCACAAGGCTACAAGATTGGAATACAATGTGAGGACTGAACTCAGCAACAATAGCCTGCATGACTTCACAATAACCCAAAACCAAAAAATCATAAATAAATCAAGCATTTGATTAGAAATAAAAATCATTATTCAATACATTATTTAACCTTTATCTATTATTTAGTACCTTTATCCTTGTTGTTTTTATCACTCTGTTTCTGCCAATGTGTTCTTTTGCCTTAATTAAATGTATACTGCATCCAGTAATCTTTTAAAGTCTCTCATTGTTTTTTCTTTCTCATCAAGAAAATCACATCTGAAGAAGTTCATAAAACTAGAATATAGAAGTTTTGTTTTTGGAAAAAGTTTCAGATAAGACTGGAAGAAACTGTTTATTTTGAACAAATTAGTCTTACATTGATATCTGATATAGATGGCCTAATTATCAAATTTACTGACATCTGAAATGGATGGCTTTACTTGCCCAATTCATTCTCTTCAGCATTCTTCTTGACACCACATGGTGTGAAAATCTACTCACAATTTGCTTATACATTTAATTTTTGACTCTAAACCAAAAGTCACATAGTTTTTGCATTGGTTTCTTTTCTTCATCAGTTAAAATCTTAGTATAAATCTCTAAGTGTTTCTTTATTAAAAATATATCTCTTCAATCCAAATGTTGATATAAAAATGTGGAGAATAATAACATGATTTAAGACATTTTATCAGAAGTTTTTCATAATTGCAACAAGAAATTGAATAAATCTTTAAACAATTACTGGATATTTTGATAGCCTCTGGTAAACCTAAATGTAAAATAAAATAAAATATGAAAATAAAATATATAAACAAAAAAAGAATTAAAATTAAAATAAGGCATTTGCTTTCATTAAATCCCTTACCTCTCTCTCTATGTCCTTTTCATGCTATACTGCTCTCACAACTGATGAGAAGGCAACCCTCATATAAAAGAAGGAAGAAGAAGAGACTGAAAATAGTGGAAGTTTGCTGAACCAGAGTTTAGCCAGTTGTGACTACAAATCTACCAAAATAACAGAGGCTCCACTATTAACTTCTGCTATGAAAAAAACTTTGGAAAAGTAAGGAATGCCAGGAAATAATTTTGGTTAATCAACAAATTAACACAAACAGATTTTGATGTTAGCCAAAACCAAGTTTCAAGCCATTAGTTGAGGGAGGGGGGTGCTTGTCAAAAATGATATAAACAGATAATTGAGAGACAGAAGAAGAAGAACCAGTTATGCATGTCACATGAAAAAGTTAAATGGTCATCTGCTTACAACATTTTCCTGCTCTTCTTAGAGATGAGAAAAGGCAGCAGATTGACACTGCTCCTATTTCTAAGATGGCAACTACTACCAAGGTCTGACCTCCAAACTATTGACTACCAAGCTGAAATGGACTTTCTTCTCACTGCTAACAAGAACTGACTTATAAACAAACTTTTGCAGCCACAAATTATAAAGGACTCACTCCAATCTAAATCAAATAAATAAATATATATTATTTGATTATACCTTTGAAATTGTTCATTTTATTCCAAAGTTTTGGTAAATAAATACCAAGAATATCTGGCAAAAACCCACAAACCATCATTCAAGTCAAAACGCTTTTCCTTGTTGAATTTAATAAAAATCTGCATGCATCAAGAAAATATCTTTTAAATCTTTAAAATTAGATGATAAATTAATTCAATTTCTCTATTATTTTGTAATTCTCACTTCTTATATATCAATTAAAATAATTATAATAGTAAAAAATTATATATAATCTATAACTTAATCAATTACCTTGCATAGTAACTTTTAAAAACTCTATATATTTAAGGCTTTTTAAAAAGTGTTTTGACTGGCAACTTTCCAGTCAGCATAACGCAAAACTAAAATGAATATTAACACTGTTCAGTTAAAACATGGAGAGAATGTAGGTCTAAAAGTTCAAAAGTCAGCAGTTTTTGTATGACAAACAACAACATCATGAAACCTAAACATAAAGATTTCTCTTCCATTTCTTTATGGCTGTAATCCAAAACATGTCTTCATCTTTATATTATAATCCTTTCTCAATTCCAAAAAGAAATTTATACTTCTGAATAAATTATTGCCACACTCATTCTCTTTGTTTACAGCACCATTTAAAAATTCTTTCAGAAAAAGACTTTTAAGAGTTCTATAAAGAAAATAAAATGGATACCAAAAATTCAGCTCTGAATCACGAGCCAGTACCATACATGTAATTCCAGCATCATGTGCATTGCAGTTTCTGTTGAGAGAATTAAAACGGTAAAAAATAGGTTAAGAGAAATGGGAAATCATTGTAAAGTTAATAATAGAAAAACAAAATTGATATTATTCAAATAAAAAAAAATTAAATATAATATATATATTATTATATATGCATGTGGAAGTTACATATATGCCAGTGTTTATTGCAAATTCATCTATGTTTATTTTTTAAGCTTTCTCTTAGTAAAAGAAGAAATGAGAGTATATGATTGAGTAATATTGTGGAATCTTCCCTAGCAGCCAATTAACCCCTGCTAGAAAATGCACTATTCCTGTTGTAATTTTCACCATCACAATCTTACAAGTATATAACAAGCATTCATTGGTTAATCACCTTCAATCTAGCTTGCTGATTGGTCAGTTTCAACCAATTAAATCACCCCCACGCGACAGATCTATTTTGGCGCCAACTCATCTGAGCCTGTCACGTGGTACAGCAAAATTATAAAAACAAAACACATGTAAACTCTCTCTCTCACATCTCATTCCTTGCTGTCAAAATGTAATCTTCAAGAACTCCCGTCTTAACCTTTGTGGTCAGACGTTAAAGACCATTATCAACATTCACACAAGTACGAACTCTGAAATCTCTTCTGAACTTTTACCAACTTGTACAATACACAATTCCAAACATGCTAAAGAAACTTTATTTTTCCTAGACTACAGTTTAATAATTACTTTCACTTTATAAACTTAGGTACAAATATTACCTAGTCTAAGAGACACAACTCTGTCTAACCTTTTCACTCAGTATTCATGTATGTATATCAAATATTAATAAATTCAATTGTTACATTTTGAAACAAGATGTTTATGAATCATTATTCTCTGTCTTGTATTAATTGTTGTGGATGGAAGATTATTGAACACACAATTTTAAGCCTTCTGATAATTCAAACCTTCTATTCCTCTCCAACATTACACATCCGCAACAATATGATACAACATGTTAGATCCTAGAAACATGTTCACTTCACTCTTGGAAAATGCAGATAAAACTTCTACATTTTCGATCACTGAACATTTTAATTTATTAATTCACTGATATTTTTTGCTAATTTTTTTATGATTGTGTTCTCAATTCAATAGGAAAAGACTTCACTTTCCAGTACTAGCTTCCCACTACTGATATTCATTTCAATAGGGAATTGATTGCATTTTTATGGCTTATCAACATTTTGTGCATTATTTAAAGCTGAAACATATTTTAGATTATTAGAATAATTCTTCTTTTTGTAAGTATTAACAATATATTTGAGAATAACAAAAATCATAGAAATAAACTGCACAAATATAACAATAATATGGCTTTGTTGTTATTTTTTAGCCCCCTCCTCTAACAACAATACATTTCAAACTCTGGACTGTTAACAAGATAAACAATTCACTAGCTCTCTCTCAAAATAGACAGATGTAGATATTTATTAATGTTAACTTTCATAGAAGGTGATAAGTGTGAGCATTAAACATCTACATATTCATCTGCAGCTGGATTGCTAAGCATTGCTTTTTTATTGAGACCTTTCTTTCCTTTATTATGCTTTTCTAAGTCTGGAAAAGTATGGTAAAATGAGAAGTAGGAATGTTGTATCATATTAGTTTTCCAAATCGGGTAGAGCTGGGTGCTTACCTTAAAACTCAGTATTCAGAATCATGGCTTTTACCAAGGCTCCAAGACTGATCAGGCATGCTGATAGAAAATATGCAATTATCTCAGGCATAAGGCAAACTGCCAGAATATACATTCATACATTAGTCATTGTTGTGTATGTGTGTGTGTATATATATATATATATATATATATATATATATATATATTTGGTTGGATAGATGTGAGTTTGTTAGCTCTATCTCTGACTATTTTTCCTGAACCAAGATACATGACTACAAAAATGTGAAAAAATTAAAAGAAAATGGTTGATCTTATGTTATTCAAAATATATAACATAAATTAATCCCAAACTAAATTCATTTAAATACTAATTTGCACAAAAAAATATAAAATATCACTTACTCACTTTTGTTTATTAGACATTGAAATGTATCATTTCATGTCTCCCATAGCTTGCCTGACATTTCAGCTAACCTCATGAATATTTAGGAGTACTCCAAACTAAAAAATCTGTAAAAACCAATAACATTTTTGCTCTTGAATATAAATACTTGTTACAAAATAAAATCATTGCATTTGTCTTGGTAAAGTCCCACAGAAGACTAACCTGAAAATTATCTTTATCTGAAAGTTTTACACATGCAAATATATACATATATATATATATATATATATAGGATACATTTTGTGGTGACATACACACACAATAGACGATATAATCTTAAAGATCAGAAGATGAGAGAGGGAGAGGAAAATAAAATAAAATAAAAAGGGGTGGGGGAGAGAGATGGGGCGGTGGGAATTAAAACCAAAGGGCATTTGTAAAAGGGCTGTTGTGTAATCAAGAAAATTTGACAAAATTAATATCGACTACAGGTTACAAATCAAATATAAACATATAAAAAAACAAATATAACAATTATCTAATCTAGCAAGGACCTACATTTCTATGTTCAAAAACACATGCGTATACACACATACACAACAACATATTTATATTCATACATACATACATATAGGCGTGTACACACATAAATATACATATACTCATGCATACATATACATATATGTATATATATATATATATATATATATATATATACACATACATATACATACATATATATATATACATACATAAACACACACATACATACATATATACATTTCAGTTGTATTATACATATATATATATATATATATATATATATATATATATATATATATATAATACAACTGAAAAATACATGAAAATTACAAGGATTTTATATGCTTTTTCACATTAGCAGAACTTCCGCCAAAAAGGAATCAATAAATAACTAGACCTATAATATTAATAAATTAATAAAAGTTCAAGTGACTTATCTGAGTTTCCAATTCATGAGTTTTGCAGTAAAATGCTCATTAGGGACAGATTTTAATAAATTGATAAGCATTTTGATGTGAAAATCTTGTGATAGCTAACCAGATAAGTCATTTGAACCTTTCTTAATTTATTGAAAGTATGTATATATACTCAAGCATATTTGGTTGAATAATCTAGGCATATTATGCCTATTTATTTTTATTTTAATCCACCCAAATTCACAGATCAATTTCTTAATGTTGTTATTAAACGCATTAAAGAAGGCACCATAGTTTTTTTAATTTCTTTTATTTTCCCAAGTACTTTCAATCTAAACCAAGATCATCTTCAGGGGTGAATTGCTAAGACAAAAATTAAAGCAATTGATAGTTGGGATTTTTTTGTAAATGTATATGAAATGTGTTCTGTCATAATTATAAACATATATAACATTAATTGTGAGTATAACAACAATGTTTTAAAATGTCTATAACAGCAATGTTTTAAAATACCTATATTGTAATTTTTTTTAATAATTAGAAATATAAATTAAGTTACCTCCCTTAAATAACAGTTAATTTTTTAATTAACCATAATGGAGTGTGTTTATATATGTTTATAATTATAAGAGAATATACAAGAAACTTTGTTAGAAAAATATGCCCCCTCTAGCAGGGCTGAAAGTTGCGTACCCTTGTGGATACCGTAAATAGATGTGACATGACTTAGAGCATTTGGTCATACAGAACCTCCTGATCAAACAAAGCTTGAATAGTATTCAAAAGCAATATATATATATATATATATATATATATATATATATATATATATATATATATATATTGAATTTAAATTTTAATGTAATATTTTAAATAGTTTATTTTGCATGTATAATATTTTTACTTCTTAAAGGGGTCTTTTATTTACATACTACATTTAATTCTATTAAATAATGTGTTTGCTTTTTGAATAATGTCAAACTTTGATTATTGCATAATATCAAGAGTGTTTCAATGTAGCAAGCATTTCTGGTTGAATTTAAATCATTCAGGATAATATTTTTTTATCTTAATGTTAACATTCTTTAATTGGTTGAATTGTTATCAACAACACATATTGTCTTCCTTTGTTCTTTCTTTCTTTTTTCCTTTTTTCTTTCTTTTTTCTTTCTCCTTTTTTCTGAGTTTTGTATACATTTAGTTCTTTCTCTTATTCGTTTTTTTTTATTCTATTCTCTTATATTCATTTATTTCTTCTTTTTCTTTGGAGTTATGACGTGTTGTTTTTTAATTTTTCTTAACTCTTATATTTCACTTTCTTCTTTCCTTTTTTTCCTTTTATTGTCTTTTTACACTCTTCTCTTTGCTTTTACCTGTTTTTTCTTCTTTTTCTTCATCTTTTTTATTTCTTTTTCTTTTATGGAAACCCTTTATATATTTCTTTTCCTTTTATGGTGTTTCTCCTTATGTCTTTTTAAAAAATTTGAATAATGAAAAAGAAAGTAATGTTTCATAAGCAGCATTTTTAAATAGAATTATTTATATCTTTGTTCCTCACCTGTCAAGATGAATTTGCATTGAAACAAAAATGCATCTTTGTCATGAGTACTTGTTTGTCCGTATGTAACATATTTATAATAAATAAATATATATATATGTATGTGTATATATATATATATATATATATATATATATATATATATATATATATATATTATTTTTATGTTTATACATTCTTTTTATAGATACAAATATTTAAGTAAATGTTCTGTTTTATAATAAACAGTATTAATAACATTTACTGGCCCAAATGTCCAAGAAATTTTCAGATATATATATATATATATATATATATATATATATATATATATAGAGAGAGAGAGAGAGAGAGAGAGAAACAAACAGACAGACAGACAGAAACAGAGAGAGAGAGAGAGAGAGAGAGAAAGTGTGTGTATGTGTGTGCACATATAACAATGAGCACATTACAATGCATATAAATAACAATGAGCACAAACAGGTGTTATACATAACAATTAGGACAAACAAGCCATATGCTTAACAATGAGCACAAACAATTCATATATGTAACAATGAGCATAAACAAGTCAGATACATAAAAGTGAACATAAACAAGTCATATACATAAAAATGAACATAAACAAGTCATATGCATAACAATTAGCATAAGCAAGTCATAAAAAACAAGTCATATACATAAAAGGGCAGAGAAGGGAAATGAATTTATAAACAGTTTATCAATCTTCATGTATTTAGATGAAAATTCACTTGAAAAATTCAAGGAAAGATTTTCTGTCAAGTTATGGAAAATTGAACTGGTGATATAAATGAAAAAAAATAGAAACTTACATCAACATTGGATGCAACTTCCCATTATTTTTATATGAAGATTCATAGATGATGAAATGATGATCAAACCTGTAAACAAAAATCAACAATGAAATTATGATTATAAAAATAATCTTATGATATATTGATACTTCTGTAATAGTCATGAAGTAGCAAGTGTGTTTCCTAAATTGATTCTTAATGTTGAATTTAAAGTTTTTACAAAAACCTACGTTTTAAAAGACTCCTATCTTTTTTAATGGCATATACATGTTTCTCAACATACTCAATTTTTTATTCAATGTTTTATGACCATCCAGTCCAGTTGAGAAAAGCCAAGAATGACACTTTGCTTAAAATTAAGCTAGATGGCACAAAGCATTTAAGCATTTAACTTATGAATACCTATGAAAAACAAGACATCTACTTATAAACAAAAATGAAGAAAAAATTAAATTCACTCTAGCAAAAAGAAACGTGTCATCAAATAAAAGCAAACATATGAATTAATATAATAAATATAAAGTTGATATTTTATTCATAATTATCATCAATGATTTATCAAATTATGCATAAAATAATCCCCATAATTCATGCACAAATTACTGACAAAGAAATGTTTGCTTCAAAATAAATAAAAATTTTTAAATATAATTCTTTTGTTTCTTCTGAGAAAGTAAATGGATCCCTTTACATGTAACCTTATCACTCCACTAAAACAGACTTTCCTTTACCTTAATAAAGATATATGAAGAATGATCTAAAACTAAGTGAAAGTTACATATCTAATTCTAGTTCAACAAAGAATAGGAATAAATTTGATCTATTATATCTGTCTTGAATTTGGAAAGTATGGCAGATGAAGATGCTAGCATTTGGGTTAAGTGATATAATTCTATACAGAAACATCAGCTACATGAATCACTTTTTACAAATGCTAGCAAAAAGAACTTGTACTTCATAACTCCTACTTAGACATTTACACATGAACATAAACAGTAAGGAAACAAGTTTAAAAAGGCAGAGTTAAACAGAGTTTTCTTCTACTTGAGAAAGATTATGATAATTTCAACCAAAAATGTATGTGACATTGGAGCTAAGAACTTTGAGAAGCATGACATATAACTTTAGGGTATCAACAATCAACTTGGGCTTGGGTTAATTATGATTAAAATGTGATTTAACTTTTCTAAATTTATCTTTATGTATTTCTGAATTTGTGTCATTTCATATCAAAATATTTGTATCAAAGTTGATAATTAAATGTAACTAACAAGTCTTTGGATACTAAACACAAACAAGTAGTTTTGCTAATATTTGGAGGTTTCTATTTTGCTAATATTTTGAGGCTTCTATTTTGCTAATATTTTGTGGCTTCTAACATTGCAGGAACGTTAGAAATAAAATAGAAATATTAGCAAACCCATTCACACATTTTGGTTGACTTATCAAATAATGATTATTGAAAAATATTTTTCACAGTTACTTTCATTTAATTCTGCTTGAAATTTGCTGATCAATATTTTTGATGTCTGTGTATATGCAAATATAGATGCTTCTCTAATGAACTGTTTCATTTCAGCTAAAATTGTTTTACAATATATCATTCAAATAACTTGAATGAGTAATTTTCAAAGATTAATTTTGGGGAAATTAGCTGACTGAGAAGTTGTAAAAGTTGCTCTTAGGAGCACTTGACCTAAATGCCTGCCTATTTCCACTGAGTTTTGCCATGGCTATTGTGCATGAGAGTAAAACTGGTACAAACCCTGCTGAGTATATTCTGGATTCATGACACAATATGGAACGTACAATATCCGTGTGTTGCTTAGCAACATGCAACACATTCTGATTGATCACATGACCACATCTTTTATCTGGAGAGGACCAAAAAGAAATGGATAAGTATGGTTAAAGTTTTATCAGAAATCTAAATTGATAATAAAAAGATTTCTAAAGATTATTTTTGCTTGAAAAGTACAACAAAATAAAAAAAAATTTGACACAAAGTCTTTCAATAAAGTTAGAAAATAGAAAAATGATTTTATTTTTTATATTTTGAAACAAAACATTGAAATATAAATATTTTTATAAGAAAAGTAGAAGTAGATAAAATAGATTTCAAACAAGATTATATTTCTAATGAAATATAATTTTCATGTGTGCGTGTGCGTGTGTATCGTTAATTTGCTTGTGTATAATAAACATAAGCTTTGAATAAGCTTCATCTCATAGATCTGACCACATGTAGAATCAATGCAACACAATTTTCCAAGTCAGCCTAACTTATGCAGCCTTGCACAGAACTTGGCAGTATCAAATATCTATCTTGCAATCAATTAGCTTTACACAGAAAATTATTTTTATATAATTTGCATTTTATGAGTTTTTAAGCCTTTCTAAAATTTATTTCAGGCAAAAACAATAAATTTAATGGTTTGTCTAAGAATCATTTTGATTGCAAAAATGTATATCCCCATTATATATTGTACATTTTGCTTTTGTGGAAGCAGATTTTCTAAAAGAAAAAATTTTGGTGAAAAGCCAAAAGATCTTAATATCTTTTGCATAATGCAGAATACAAGTTTATTTCTTTCTTAAATTGATTTCTGAGTACAATTGTTGAGAGGCCAATAATGAATGTCTGAGGTTTAAAATTGCAAAATTTGTGACATATGTTTTTTGCTGGTTGTACAATTTATAAAGCTGCAATTATCTATTTAACTTAAGCATCATTTGATTGTGTGCACAGCCGACCAGATTTAAAATATACATTTGTCTTTTAAATTGCTTTGCTCTAAATATACAATATTCAAGAAAAAGCAATCTTATAATTCAGATTCCATTTTCTTAGAATGCTCACTTAAAAAATAGGTCTTTATTTGAATCCTTTCATTATAAAGTAGATTAAAAAGTATTATTTCTCTGTAATAGTGTGTTAAATAAGTGTAAGTCTTCTATCTCACCTCTCTTCACTCAATTTGAGGTGTTAAAATCTTCTGATGATAAAGCAGAATGTTTTGCTAGTACTTCCAATTCTACTCTTGACTCATCTGGAGAATCTTTGCCTGACTTTCCACTTAGAACTAAGTCTCTGTTATGTGACATGTACTCTGTCCATGGTTTCTGCTATCATCTCTAAACTGGATTCCCACAAAGCATGTAGATTTGATGGTATCTCTGCAATAGTTCTTAAGAAATGTGCTCCAGAACTAGTTCCTGTCCTTTCTAAACTCTACAATAAATGCCTTGCTGCTTCTTGCCTTCCTACTTGTTGGAAATCCTTTTCTATAGTTTCAGTCTTTAAGAACTCAGGCTGAACCTTCTAAGTATTGACCTATTAACCTTCTATCTCTTTTTGGTAAAGTACTAGAGGCTCTAGAATTGGTTAAGCATCTCACCTTGTAGGGTCTTCTTTTAGATAAGCAATATGGTTTTCACTTCTCTAGGTCAACAGGAATGGGGAAGCTTAGGCTGTTGCATTAGATATCTCAAATATATTGTCAGAGTCTGGCACTCTGGTATATTTTACAAATCACAAAATGAAAGTTATTTTGAATGGCTACTCTTTTAAATCTTTTTGCAGTAATGCAGGTGTCCCCCAGGGCTCTATCCTTGGACCTGCACTTTTCCTAATTTTCATCAATGACCTTCCCAATGTCATCAATTCACAATTTGGTATGATAGCACAACTATTTACTCCTGTTTTAATGGTATGTTTCATCAGTTCAATATGTCAAATTGGCAGCTGATCTAAAAAATGACCTACAGTCTGTTGCTAACTGGGGCAAGGAATGATGTGTCAATTTTAATGCCTCCAAAATGAAACTTCTATCTTTTAATCATCTTAGAGAACCTTTTTTACTTTCTATCAGCATGGCTGATGCTATCCTCCAGGAGAGTGACACTGTGTGTCTTCTTGTCCTAACGTTTTCCTCTGGTATGAAGTGAAAATATTATATTGAATTGATTGCTAGGTCTGCTACTAAGAGAGTTGGTTCATTGTGTTATTTAAAGATTCCTTGTAAAATACAAAGTAGAATCTGCAGTGTTATTGGTCCTGACCTGTCATCTCGATTCTAGCCACTTTCCCACTGCCATAACATAGCTTCTCAGTACTTTTTCCATAAATATTTTCATGACAATTGTTCTGATCAGCTTTTCTCTTTGGTAAATAGTTTTTACAAATTTAAGCACAGTACCAGAATGGTGGCAAGATCTCATCATCTTATAGTTGAAATGGCTAGATGCAACTGGAAACCCTATGATCACATTTTCTTCTCTCATACTTCTCACTTGTGTAACTCTCTTCCAGCTTCTTGCTTTCAAGTCAACTTTGATCTTCAAAAATTAATATGCAATGTCAATCATTATCTTCTATCATCTTAATTCTTGTTCTTTTATTGTTCTCTCTTCTTAATATTCTCTCACACTCAGTAACTCCACCCTTGCATCTTAGTAGCTTTATTGCCTTGCTTGGGGTGAAATGAATAAAAACAGAAATGAATAAAAAAGAAAGATAATTTGATATTTATCTGATCCATTTAATTATAATGAATTAACTCACAGATCATTGGTTCAAACATCATAAAGGTCAGTAAGGATTCAAATAAATGACAATATAAAAAGAGTCAAAAAATTATATTTTTATAAACAATAATTTTCTGAATTTTTACAAAAATTAAGTATTTTTACAAAAATTAAGTATATTTTCATTCTTCCCTAATACTTTTGGACTACTGTCTTCATATTTAATTTGAATAGAAAATTTTGGTCAATATGTTTTTAGCCTTTCTTCAAGTGAATGTTGAATCTGGTTGTCTTTAAAAGCCAATGTTTTCCTTTTCTTCCTTTTTTATCTCCTCAATTAGAACACCACTGTCTAACAATCTTTATTAAACTAAGCACCAGTACTATTAATATCCTCTTAATTTATCTCCCTTGCACATTTTCTCACTTCTTTTCATTTTCATATTATCAGATGTTCTTAAAAAGATACTTTTTACTTAATACTAAGCATTAAATATTGCACAATATTTGAATAACTTTTTACATACTTTATTTCATATGCTTGAATATATGTAGAACCCTTTGGCAATTGGACAATGTCTTTGTTGATAAAAACTTAATATTCTTCTGTTTCTTAGGTAACTTTGATACTTGTTTTTGCAAGCTTTGTGAATTTAGGTAAGAAACAAATTGGTACATGCAGGAATCAAGTGGACAAATAAAGATACAGGCAAATAAAAATGACAGATTGAAGGCAAACAAATGTTACAAAGTAAGATAAGACATTTATTGGTTGATAGAATTTATCATGGACACTTGTCTTTGCTTGTCTTTTTAACTTCAATAGAAAGAAAATCAAGTTGAGACATTTGATAAAACTGGGTTTGATTTATTATGTATTAATTTTGTCACACAAATATAAATACTCTATAATCAATTAGAACCAAGTGTATAAAGACAAAGGCTACTGGGAATTAAAGATCAAATGTATCGACAGTTATTTATGAACCTTAGCTTAGTCTGGCATACAATTATCAAATAACTATAGCTGGATACCAGGTAAGGATTGTACTGATAAACTGACTTTTCTCTCATCTGGCACTTTACTGTATACTTCTCCAACATGTGCAAATAGATAAACTCCTATTTGCCAATACTTTTACATGTCCCTGAACTGAAGTGGTCTAATGTCTTTCATTGTTCTTGAACTTATTCTACAACCTCTTTCTTCCTCCTCTCCTCCTTGATGTTCATGTCCTGTTCTTTATAATGGAGATCTTGGTCTGATCTTATCATCTTCCATGTTTGAGTCACTCACACTATCATCCATAGGCTCATCTTCTATTACATTATTCTTATCTGAAGAACTCATCCTTTCTTCATCTCTGGCAAAATCTTGCTTTTCAATTCTGGGTCAATTGGTCAGAATGAGCCATTAGGCTTTTTCCTTTCTTTGATAAAATGGCCATGTTATGTCCCCTTTGCATGATGAAATTAGATCTCTCATGGTGGTTTTTTGTAAGAGAAGCAGCCAATCCACCTCAACCAATTATATAATTCTACATCACAAAATTCTGGTATTTTGATTGATACCAATTTTAGCAACCTCATTTCTAGAAAATATCACTCTTAATATTTGCTTTAATTTAGCTGTTTTTGTATCTTTAACTTTAGCAGTTTCAGACCATCCAGAAAAAGAGTCTAAAATTAGAAATAGAGCAATGCCATTAATATGTGCATGATTCATATGAACACAAGACCATGGCTTCATTTCTTTAGGCTATGAGTGTATTCTCCTTTGTTGAAAATTCTTTATTTTGGCATATTTTGGGCATTTATGTATATATCTTTCTATATCACAATAATGCACCAGTTACGATGCCTCCAATTTTAATCTCGTCTGTGTAGGCATTATTTCACAATGCACATCTTCATGTACACTTTTTAAAATACCTTTTCTTACTCATTCTTGTGGTACTATCACATCTCCATTGTAAAGAATGCTGTTTTCCATTGTTAATTTATGCCTTATTTCTTTATAAGGTCTTTCAGTTTTGGAACAATTACTCCACCTGTTTCTTTTTATCCTCTCAGCAAACTTGCTTAATATCAGATCATGTCATTTTCCAAAGCCAGTTTTGTAGAGATAATACGTTAGTTTCAACCGAAAGTAATATTTCTTCATCTGGGATTTTCCTTTTTTCTTTTTGACTGTTATTAAATTGTAATCTTGACAGCACATCAACATGTGGTATTTTATTTCCTTTTACATACACAATGTCAAAATCATATGCCATTAATTTTATTGCCCACCTCAGAATTCTGGAAGAAGTAACTTTCGGTATCTCCTTTCTAGAGTTAAAAATAA